CCTGGACTCTAATATAGGGGCCTTAATAATTAGAATAGGATTTGGGATACATTATACTATAGCTATATTAAGGAATCCCCCAAAACCTTATTCTAATTATTAAGGCCCCTACATTAAGCCCGTCACGCAAAACCCGATTCAGATGGATAGTCGTCACAGTTTCCCACACTGCTCAACAGCCCGGAAACCGATTCCAATCCTATCGGCAGTTTCAAATCCTTGACCATGAATCCAACCCGTCTTACAGCCGTTATATGTGTATATATATATATATATATGTGTATCTCTATATCTGCATGTTTTTGTTGCTTGAGATTTACATTCGTGTATCTCTTCATATCTAACTGCAGCTATATATCTACATAATATGTGTATATCAATACATCTGTATATCGCAGTAAACTTAAATTTGGGTACTCTGAATCGTGTCTTTGCAATCCTGCCATCACAGTCGCGTAGCCGACATGGTGAAATGGTACCTGGAAGCCCCGTTCCAAACCACGAGACGGGCGCCCTGCCACTACTGCTACTGCTCAAAGTTCACCATGGCGTCCACAACCTGTTTTCATGAATATTATCAAATACTATTGTTAGTATTATTATTATGGTTATTCGGATTGTTAAATATGATCTTATTATTCACCTTTTTCTTGTTGGTTTATTGATGATGGTTCTGAGTATTACTAGCCATTGTTACTCACAGCGCTCTCAGGAGACATCGCTCAAGGACTGCACTGTGCATATCTCTGGAAGTGTGAGGCCGAACGTACTCCCCCCTTTTTTGGCTTATCAGGTTTAGGGTTTTGGGGGTTTAGGGTGTAGGGTTTGGGGTTTGGGGGTTTAGGGTTTAGGGTTTAGGGTTTAGGGTTTAGGGTTTGGGGTTTAGGGTTTAGGGTTAGGCCAATTTCTCTTGTGGCTTATAGTCGGGTTGAGCGTTTAGGCTCGAATGTGGCTCGCGGGGCCCCAAGATGTTTTCTTTGAGGGGCTGCAAGTCTCAGGTAACCCTAAACCCTAAACCCTAAACCCAAAGTATGGGCTTCACGGCATGTTGGGGGTGGAGGAGGTTCGTGCTTTCAGAACTTCTTGAATTGTGCATGTCTTTGACGCTGATAGAATATATCATAGTACAGCAGAACATAATATAAGTTAGGATAAGAAAAAGCAGTTTGCAACACGATATTAGCACGTTCTACAATTTAATATTAGAATAGGGCTTTGGGGTATCTTATACTATAATCATAATAAGAAACCACCAAAAAAAGCCCTATTCTTATTATTAAGGCCTCTACATCAATTATACTATAACCATAATAAGAAACCCCCAAAACCCGATTCTTGATTCTTATTATTCAGGCCTCTACACTAATAATATCGGGCTTAGTGGGAGAGGTACCAGGAGATCCTCCTTAAGAAGAAGGGGGCTTCCTCTTCAAGGGGCCAAAGTGAAGATGCAGCGCTGAACCTGTAATATGCTCTAGGAAGGTTTGGGGCTTAGGGTTATGCGCTAGCAGCCTTCGGGGGAGGGTTTAGGGTTTGGAGGTTTAGGGTTTAGGGCTTAAGTCTTTAAAGTTTAAGGTTTAGGCTTTAGGGGAGGTGTTTTTAAGTCCTTGGGAGGCTCGCAGAGTGCTGGTTCCAGGCTGACGGGGGAGCTGAAGACTCAAGTCAAATCGTGGTACAGTGTTGAACGGAATCGGAACAGGACACTGCTAGCCCGACCTCCCACAGTACCCCCGGAAGAAAAACCGCCAAAGCATGATGCAAACTACCGCCACATCAGCTCGTAGCTAGGCATCAGCTTGGATCCCTGCGCTTCATCCCCTTGATCATCGGTAGCAACTCCACCTTCTACTTGGAGGTGCGCAGCTCTGCTGTCTGCGGGGCTATGGGGTTTTAAGAGCTTCGTGGAGTTGTGAGGCCTGAATCTCTGTCGATTTGAAGAGAGGTTTGCTTGTTCTGTTTGGGAAACATTAGGTGGAAATTCAATTGCATCAGGATCTCTCTCGACCGCCCAAGCCCCAGAATATTGCATACAAGCCTCAAGACCAGCGCAGCGCCACCTCTGTTTTCCGAGTACTATAGAAGCCTAAATAATTCCCTATATTATTCCTTAGGGCTCCTTATTATAAGTGGAGTATAATGAGCCCCAAAGCCTCACTCTAACTGCTGAGGCCCCTACATCACATACTTGAAGCCTGCATCCGCCTCAGGGCGCAGGGAGATCCTCCCGTTCGGAAGCCTGAACACCTGGAGCGATATATGGCATATATGGGTACTTAAAGGATCAGGGGACTTAGGAAGTAGGGTTAAAATTAGGGTAACTATACTTATAACCCCAATTAAGGGACTTATAACCTTACGTACTAAGTCCCATAGTCCTTTAAGTAATTCCCTGAATTAGGGTCCATGTTGGGGTCCTTCTACATGGGTGCCGTAGTATATTGGGGACCCAAAAAGGGACCCTAATTCAGAGAACTACCCATATAAACGGGCCCTAAGCCCTAAACCCGTAAAGCAGATTCCGAACAGTTGAAGCAGATCCGGAACCCTTGAAGCCCTAAACCCCACACCCCCACCCCTTCATGCCACTTTTCTGAGGCCCGAAGCCTTTAATTTTCGAAGTGTGGAAGGCGCCCCCAATTGGGTTCCAAGCTGAACGCCGAAAGAAGCCCCAAGCCTTCACCCACTCTTAGAAGAGAAGTTCACCCGACGGTGGTGGCATACTTATGGCACTCTACCTGCGGCCCTGAAAACCCTAGCCTTTCTACGGAGTTATATATCTAGAAAGCACAACAAGGAACCCGAAAATCAGTTTTTTGGGGGCTACCCTAAACCCTACAAATCCTAATTCCTAAACCCTAAACCCTGAACCCTAGGTAGGCTTACATCCACGTTGCACAAGCCAGGCCTTTACGGAGGTACCCGACTCCGAGGATCGGTTGCGTCCTGGAAGTTGAAAGGTCTGCTTAAAGGATCATGGGACTTAGTAAGTAGGGTTATAAGTCCCTTAATTGGGGTTATAAGTATAGTTACGCTAAGTATAACCCTACTTACTAAGTCCCATGATCCTTTAAGTACTATAAGAGCCTAAATGATTGCCCATATTATTCTTTGGGTTTCCTTATTGTAGTTATGCTATAAAGGAGTCCGTGAGAGAGAGAGAGTTGTACTATAAACGAGTTCAAAACCCTATTCTAACCCCTGCATTAGGGTTTGCGGTGTAAGGCTGAGGGTGTTGCTTCTGCTGGGTTTCGTGGCTGCCGGCCTGTAAGCGCCAGGGACTTTGGTGGTCAGATCCAATCAAGCTTTACGATACCACATGCGCATGTTCCGTGGGTATTTAAGGTTTCCCAAACAGAGGCACTAATTTAGAGAACTACCCACATGGTCCTGGGAGAGTCGCAATTGAAAGGGTCTTCGCTGCCTGACTGGAGAGCGCTGGAGAGTGCGGCCCCTACGCACCTCATACCTCGAAAGGGGTGGATGGTTTTAGGGCGTTGAATCAGGCTTTGTGAGAGAGAGGGTTTGGTGTCTAGTAGCTAGCCAAAGCCTAAACACCAAATCCTAAACCCCAAACCCTAAACAAAAACCCCTAAGCTCTAAACCCCTAAACCCTGAACCCTGAACCCTAAACCCTAAACCCTAAACCCCTAAATCCCAAACACTAAACTGCTGCAAGACCTCCAGGAGACGGAGACCGGGGATGAGGAAGCGCCACTCAACAACAGACAGAGGCGGCTCACGAACAAGAGACTCCGACTGCGCTGTTTGGGATTTGAAGCATATTCCTTAATTAAGGGATATACGTTAAGTTTTAACAGGATCCCTAGTATGATTCAAAAATTTCAGGGTTTAGTAATTTGGGGTTTATTTTTGAAAGCCCTAAACTGATAAGAGATACAGTAAGTGCTAGGGATGGGTTAAGAACCCAGAGGATTCTGTGTACAATTCTTGTGGTGATGGCAGTTTAGGGTTAGGGTTAGGGTTTAGGGTTTGGGGCTAAACCCTAAAGCCTATACCCGACTTAACATGTCTGACTGAACTCTGCAATGCGGGCTTGTCCTAGGAAGCTGGAAGGCAAAAAGCCCAGTCATGTTAACCTTCAGAGTCTTGGTCTATTGGTTGGTGCATTGGGAATCTCGACATACTCGAAGGTCCATGGCTACATTGTATGTGTACATACATATATACATAAGTTACACAAGTGAGTAGATATCATGCGTTCATGTATGTAGTTATTTTCTATTTTCTGTTTGGTAGTGGTTTAGAGTCAATTCGTCGTCCTTGAGAACGGGGCCTGCGCAGGACTGTCAGCGGAGAGACCCCGACCGTGGTAGCAGCCGCCATACTTCTCGAGTCCCAAGGGAAGAACCCCCGGGTGTCGGTTGGCCCCAAAACCCAAACCCTAAACCCTACACCCTGTTTAAGGTTTAGGGGTGCTCATTCGGCAGCCTTACCGAGTACCGCTACTATTCGTCAGGGTTTTGATATCTGATTTTAGCATTATACCACCTGAGGACCTAATATACCCCAATATCCC